CAACCCCAAAACAAGCCTTCATGACTGCATATCTCAGAGCCTGGATCAAACAGACTTGGGCTTGAGAGGCTCACGTTACCAAGCTGAAAATAGCAGTATAATCCTTCCCAGTAGGGATGGAACCAGGACTCTAAGTAGGGATGTTAAATATCGGTTTATTGAATAGTCGAGTAACCTCATGAATTCTTATTGGTTAGTCGACTACTCTATAGTACCCAGGGATGGGGTTGGCAGCCAGAGCGCTCCGGCACCACTACCAAGGAGGCTCCTGCCACTCCTTGCTGCTGCCTCTGTATCAGAAGCTGCAGTGTGGGGTGACAGGTGGGAGCTGGTCTGCAAGGGGAGACAGTTTAAAATCCAACTCCCCTCACAGACCGGCTGCCTGCATGCTGCTGCCTCTGACACAGAGGCAGCACTGCAGGGTGGCACCAGCCTCTATCTGGGATGGGGGTCTGTGCTCCCGGACCCAGCATGAGCCAGAACTGAGTTGGGCTACCTGCCTGCCTACCTCCTAATACACTTTAAATGCAGAACTGCAGCAAGGGTAGGTCTGAGCCAGATTGCTGGCCATCCTGCTAAAAAAATTACTTGGGGGGAGGAGGAATACGTGTAGTCTATCCATAGCATTAACTTATAAGCTTTTGCTTATCAGTTATTCTGTTAATTGATTACACTATTACATCCCTAGCTCTGAGACCCATCTCCCCTGCTGACATTCAGAACCTGGGCTGCAGCCCAAGTGGAAACATCTGCATTGCTATTATTAGTCCCATAGCACAAGCCCTGCAAGCCTGTGTCTGTTGATCTGGACTCAGATTCAATGCCACAGGGTTTTGTTTGTTTGTTTGTAGCTGTACCCTGTGTCTCCCAAGGCCGATGGAGTTCTTCTCAGTGTGAATTGTGGGGATATGTGCAGCAAGAGTTGACTTTGTTGCAAAACTAACATTTTTCTTTTTAGAGCTCGGATCTTCTTGTCCCCATCTCTGGCCTGAGGAGATCTGGCTACCATCAACCTCCTGACAAATCTCTGCTAGGCTGAGCCTGACAGTATATATCAACCAGCTCATGTGTATTTTATTTACAGAGAAACTTGATGTGTCAGTTATGGTTTTTGCATCAGTTGGGAAGAATGGATTGCCAGAATGAGTCTGAAAATGAGAACATGTTATTCAAATCTTAGTGTCTCAAATTACTTATAAGCCTGATATATTGAATCAAAATTTGAATGTCAATGAGAAATAGAGACACTATAAAATTCCAGTCTTCTATTTCCTCTTTATTTTAAAAAAACATACTTCCAACAATGCATTCATTGTTTAGGCTTCTGAATCCACTCTAGCCTTTGCTAGGCTGTAAAACTTACCATTCAGGTAATATATAAAAAAGTTTCTTCCTCACAATCTTTCCAAAGGCTACCCCTAACATACATTACTTTTTTGGTATTACAATACCTCTTAGAAACCCAAGCCAGCATCGGGGCTTCACTTTGCTAGGCACTGTACAAACCCAGAATAAAAGTCCCTCCTGGCCTGTAAGTAGATCTTACAATCTGAACTGACAAATGTATTTTCAGCAGACCTTGATGACATGCTCAGAAATTCTAGAAGTCGAGTTGTAGTTGCCCAAACAAGAAAGAGGGAGAACTTAAGATATGAGACTCTGGTAATCATAGACAAACTTGGGGGATAGGGGACCTGACAGGAGATTGTTCTGTCATGGGACTATTGTTTGCCCTTGTTGGAAGTCTGGTGGCTCTTCAGGGACATGAGTGGCTGTGCTACCCACACAAAGGCACCGTGTTGCCACATCTGCTCTGTCCCTCAGCAGGCTCCACTATGCCAGTTCTCTGGCCATGTAGTTCTGCTGAAGCTTTGGTACCAGGAATTCTGCTGACTGTGGCTGTCTTCGGAGCTCCAGAGTAAAGACAATACATTGCCTGCCTCTAGGTGTGTGAGGGATGATATACTTTCCATCTTCCTGGCCTGTTCCTAGCTCACCCAATCTCCACTCACTTCCATTGTGCAGATCCTGGTGCACCCTCTTTCAGGTACCCAGAAGAGTAGGGATATACACATGAGGACTGCGTCTAGACTGGCAAGTTTTTGCTTTTGCGCAAAAACTTGCCAGCTGTCTACACTGGCCGCTTGATTTTGCACAAAAGCACTAACGTTCTACTGTCCGAAATCAGTGCTTCTTGTGCAAATGCTTTGACGTTCCTGTTCGGGCAAAAGCCCTTTTCCGGAAATGTTTTTGCACAAGAGGGCCAGTGTAGACAGCTAAAAACTGTTTTGGTCAAAAAAGCCCCGATGGCGAAAATGGCGATCGGGGCTTTCTTGCGCAAAACCGTGTCTAGATTGGCATGGACGCTTTTCCGCAAAAAGTGCTTTTGCGGAAAAGCATCCGTGCCAATCTAGACGCTCTTTTCCGCAAATGCTTTTAACGGAAAAACGTTTCCGTTAAAAGCATTTGCGGAAAATCATGCCAATCTAAACGTAGCCTTGGAGGCTTCCTCTCCTCTATAAGAAGATAAACTGGCGATCGGGGCTTTCTTGCACAAAATCACGTCTAGACTGGCCACGGATGCTTTTGCGCAAAAGCACTTCTTGCGCAAAAGCATCCGTGCCAATCTAGACATGCTTTTGCAGAAATACTTTTATTGGAAAAACTTTTCCGTTAAAAGTGTTTCCGCAAAATCATGCCAGTCTAAACGCAGCCATACACTTCCAGACAAGACAACTAGTTATCAAGCAGGGGGAGGTGAGTACACAATGGCTGAATCTAGACTGGCATGATTTTGCGGAAATACTTTTAACGGAAAAGTTTTTCTGTTAAAAGTATTTCCGCAGAAGCGCATCTAGATTGGCACGGATGAAGTGCTTTTGCGCAAAAGCATCCGTGGCCAGTATAGACGTGATTTTGCGCAAGAAAGCCCCGATCGCCATTTTAGCCATCAGGGCTTTTTTGCGCAAAACAGTTCTTCCTTGTCTACACTGGCCCTCTTGCGCAAGCGGGAGCGTGAAAGTATTTGCGCAAGAAGCACTGATTTTGTACATTACAAAGTCAGTGCTCTTGTGCAAATTCAAGCGGCCAGTGTAGACAGCTGGCAAGTTTTTGAGCAAAAGCAGGTGCTTTTGCGTAAAATCTTGCAAGTCTAGATGCACCCATCCAGTATAACTCTTCACCTATTCGTTCAGCCTGCACCACAGATCCCAGTGAAACTCTCTTCAAAACTAAGGCTTTGTCTACACTAACACCTTTTGTTGGTAACACTTTTGCCAGTCAAGGATGTGAAAAAAACACATCCCTGACTAACAAAAGTTTTACTGATGAAAGAGCCAGTGTGGACAGTGCTATATCAGCGCGAGACAGTCTTCTGCAGACAGAGCTGCTATTACTCATTAGGAGTGGTTACTTACGCCAGCAGGAGAACTTTCTCCCATAAGCGTAGTGTGGCTACATGGGGGGTTGAAGGAAATAGGGAGGCAGCTGCAACAGTAGAGCAATGCTCAACTCAGGTCTCCAGTGCAGACAAAACCTAAAAAAAAAAAAGATCCTGCCTCGCTGTATCAATAAAAAATTTCGAACCAGATCTTCAGCTGGTATAGCTCTATTGAAGCCAATGAAGCTCTGCTGATTTACACCAGCTGAAGTTGTGAGCTGTATAATGTATCTTCTAAGGTTATTTACCACTGGGAAAGGGAAAAATTTGCTGTACTAACATAAATTTTTACACATGCTTTCTTGACTTCTTAACATGTGCTTCTTTGGTGATAATAGAAAATATTAAAATATTGTGATCATGGGAAAAGGTATTTTTGGTTTTAGTCCTTTTCAGAACTCAGTCCCAATTTCTTATAGGTCAAACATTTGTTTTAAAAGATCAGACAAACATTTTGTTTAGATATGGGTAAGTGAAAAATGTTTTCCATTGTTAAAGAAAGTTCAGATTTCACATTTTAACACCTCTTCTAAGAAGATATGCAGAAGATTAACTCCATCAGACTCCTCCTTTAAATCTTGTACATGAAAGTTGGAGGTCCCAGATTTATGTTCTAGGTCAGACTTTCCAATAAATAGCAATGTTATTTTGGATTATTATTCTGGAGAAAGGCCTATAAATCTACACATTAGTTTTCATTTTTATATTGCTCTTTAAAGACAATTTAGTAATCTTTCTTGATTTGCTTTACAAATCCCTTCAGTTTCTAAATCTAAGGTAAAATTTCATCAAGTTTTTCATCCATTGTTTTGATCAAATTATGCAGTTTATTTGTATCCTGCCAAGATATACTTAACTTTAATTGGCTCATGTGTTTGAAATTATGCTTGTACTTTAGTGCTTTCATGGATTGTGATTTTAGGGTGCAATCATACAAATATATGCTTCCTTGCTTCATTTTACACATATGAATAGTCCTATTTGAAATCAATGGAACTAATTCCATGTGTGAAATTAAGCTTGTGCCTAAATCCTTGCAGGATGTAGCTCTTAATTTGTAATTACTTCTCCTTCAGGCGTCATTAAACACATGAGCAGGTGGGGTGGATCAGCCTGAAAGAGAGAATAAGATCTTAGAGGGGCAACCTGCATTGACCTTCTTTCTGACTCCCCTTACTGAGGTCTAATAAACTGGTATAGGTGCCCCTGTTTGTAGGACTTCTTGGACAGCTCCTCCTTTGGCCCCATATAACCCAAGAGAGTGTCTTCTACTGGGAAGTCCCAACAAACCGGAAAAAACAGAAACCACAGCAGCAGCACAAGGAACAGCTCTAATCAAGACAAGTGCATAGAGAAAGAAATCGAGTTAAGTATTTTCTTTTTCTTAAAGAATGCTGACTACATGGATTAATAAGTAGATTTAATAAGTGCCAGCTCTTCAAATCAACATGGGAGTACTAAATGAATTAAGTATTATATCAATGAAAAATACACCTCCCTACATACATTCTCTCAATTCATAAAGGGATAAAAATTTACCTTTACAGAGGGTGAAATTTACCTTGTGCTGAAGATGAGCAACAAGACCTATGCATAATTTATGTGTGACTTGAACTCTCAGAATGGGGTTGAAGTGAGGCAGAGGATTGGAACTGGCCCTCTGCACATGGGTGAGTATCACTCCTATGAAGAACAAAAGGGAAATGGAACAACAGAGTGAATTCTGTATTCACAGGCTAGTGTTGGTTGAAAATTTACTCTTGAAAATTTTTTAATGACATTTCTTTTCTGCTAACTTAAAGTTTAAATGGAAAATTTACTTGAAAATTTTTCAACAGAAAACCAGAGCATCAAACATT